AAGTTTCAGCTTTTTAACTTTTGGTTTCATGTTCAACAACAAACAATCAAAACCAGTTTTTTTCAGACCCTGTAATTGTTTTGTCTCAACAATTGTCTGAATTGTTGTCTGAAAAAAGAAGACTGGGGAAACTCAAAAACCAGTAGAGTTAATGTTTTTCCTTTATAAGGTGGAAAACAAAATAATTGAATAATATTTTTCTCTGTAAATTCCAGTCCCTAATAGAGAACAAGTTGAACTTTCAGTGAGAAACCAAGCTTGTTCCTGAGTAGGGACAATTGGGAAACCTGATAAAGGCAGATGGCAGGCTATTTTGTTACACCTACAATCTGCAAGAGCCTAAGCAAAAATTAGGTGAAGAATATTTTCATAATTGACCTTTCAGTGAACTAACATAAATATTTTTCCACTTACAGGATGAAGGTGACCTTATGAAATTGGTTTGCTTGCTAAAATACCCTGAACTGAAATATTTTGTCATTTATAGAGTTAATCCATTTTACACTGGCATAAACAGGGATTTCCTCCCTCCCCCCCTCCATTTTTGACACTACAGTGCAGCATTTTGAATTGAAACAGTCCATAATGGATCTTTTTTCCCACTTTTCCATAACAACATGAACACTAAATTATAGCAGTGCAATTATGTAAACAATGGAAATGCTTCCAGAATGAATACTTCCTTTTAAATTTTCATTTTGTGTAATTGTTGAAAGGTTTGGAGCCATAATAAACCAAAGTTATTTTACACATTTATCGTTCTAAAGGTCAATTATGAAAGAAGTAAAGAAACAGCACTGTACAAAAACGAGTAAACCAATTTCTGTTGCCATCACCATATGTTTTTCTTATTGCTTGTGTTTTTCCAGTTACTGTGTACATAGCATTCAATTAAAGTGATTCATTTACTAGGCTGTAAGCTGCTGAATACAGTTTATATTTATAGAACTGTGCTTTGAAGGGAAGGAAACAACTTTCCTCTATTTGAATTACCCGATTTTTTTGCAAGATCACTGATAGGACATATGTTCTCACTTGGTTGCTTTCTCATAAACCTGAATCCTTCGATAAGCTGCAAACCAACTGCATTACTATGTGAATCTAGCTTTTACCAGTAGATGTGCATACTGCATGAAAGTATGTCAATCAAGAAATGAAAGAGAACATTTGACAAATTTCATCATTAGTCTTCGTGTGTTTTAAAGGCTTTGTGAGATTTAGATTTATTTACATTACGTACATATTTTAGGCAAGGTTTTGGTTTTATTTATGCTGAAATTAAACTGATTACTTTAAACAAAGCCAATAAAACTACTCTGGTTTTGCATTGGTAAAATGGAGACTAGAATCTGGCCATAGAATCTTTTATTAAGTCAAAGACAGAGTTCAAGATAACTTATTTATTCAACATGTATGTAGTTAACTTTGATGCAAATAGCTGTGAATGTTATGTCACGGTAGCATGATAGGTGTTATGAAATTGTTTGTCTTGAACGTGAATAGAGACAAAGAGAAACTGAGGGATTACTGTAGTGCAGTGATTCTCAGCCAGGCTGCCATGCCTTGGGCTGCCTTGAGATCTCTTCAAGGATGTTGGAGCGTGCCACACAATATTAACCCTGTTAGGTATGCTAACATGATTCACAGTATAAAAATTGGGGTTTCAAGTAGTAGGTTTCAAATAGGAATCCATAGTGTTAAAACTATTCTGACCTGTTGTGATCGTTATGAGTTCTTTGCAACAGAAAAATCACTTAATTGTTTTTCCATAATCAAAAAATGAGTGAAAACTAAGAGCTGGCATTTTCCATGGGGTGCCTTGAGTCTTAAAAGGCTGAAAACCACTGCTCTAGTGTAACAGCAGACTTTTTTTCAAAATAATTTTGTTAAATTCTCTGTCTTGAAACTTGGAAAAAAAAATATTTTCTTGTTTATTAAATATACTCTATGTCAGTGCTTCTCAATCAGGGTTCCATGGCCTTCTGGGGTGCCTAGAGGCCCTTTCAACTGTGTTAGGGGGTGCCACGCTGTTAGCACTGTTAGGTGTACAAATATGACTTACAAGATAAACCCAGAGATTACAAACAGGAATCCATAGTGTTAAAAACATTCTGACCTGTTGTTGTCTTTCTGAGTTCTTTGCAGCAAAAAAATCACTAATATTTTTCTGTTTGTAACAAAATGAGTGAAAGCTAAGAGCTATCATTTTCTGAGGGGTGCCTTTGTTCTAAAAAGGTTGAGGACTGCTGTTCTATGCTCTCTCTCTTCCGCAACGATGTAGTATCTGCAACCAAATTCTTATACTGTTTAGAAAAATGCACCATCAGAAGATGAAATCATCATGTATCATGCTTCATCTGTGCAACATCTTGTTTTAAATTAGACCTGTATACTCACATCTATACTCTCTTCTTCCAACTATATTCTTCCTTTGCTTATTTACAGAGGGTACTGTGAAAAAGATCAAAGTTAAATCATTACAATATGCATCTAGTGCCTTCTTAACCTCATCACTGTTGTGGTAGTAAATATTAGCAGTAGCCAGTTTCTGTAGTTTGAGGTATAGTTGTAGCTTAAGTAAACACACACAAGATTGAATCCTTTTGAATCTTTGAAGACTTATAGCAGGCTCACTGACCATTAGATTTTACTGCCAATTTTTTAAAGTTTAATTAAAAAAAACCCCTGAATATTGGTCTAGAGTTTAACAGATGGAATTAATGAAAGCAAGGCAAAGTTAACACAGTTGTAATTAATCTTTGTATGTGCTACATTCTGCTACCTTTTAGGCCAGGTTTGCATGAATTTTTTTATTGTAGCATATGTCAACAGAAGTGTGTTCCCATCTGCCGCTGTATAGCTTGATGCGTGATATTCAGAGACAGGGCACAGCACAATACCTACCCCTGTAAGTAATTACAGGTGTGTTGTGAGGAGTGCAGTGCATTAATCAGACCCTTAATTATAAAAAAAAAAGGTGGATCTTTTGTTCTGCCCTTGGAGCATGAGTTTACCACCCACTTTATGAGCTGCAGCATCCATCTGCTCACTCTTTTAGAATGTTTGCATTGACTGATATTGACTTTAAAATGTATCAAAGGAAGTGATTAAAACTAGTTTAAACATTAACTTGAGTGGCATTATAGCTCATTCAGAGAGGTGAAAACAGTCTGTTGCAATGCCAAAATTTAAAAATATTTATAATTTTTAATGTGAGATTATTTATCATTCCATAGATCATTTCCCACTATGTTAATGTTAATAAGTATTTTCCTGGATCGATACATAGTGTTAGAGGAGACTTTGATAGTGTTTTGAAAAGTATTAATGTAGTTTTAAAATATCTAGAAATGAAAAAAGTGACTGAATTTATGCTGTTTTTGCTAACATGGGCTGTATGTGAAGAAGACCTGACGTTTTTCTAAGCATTTTTTAACCTTTGTCTGTTTGCTTACTTTAATCTTGGAAATCTCAAAATTACGAATGAGTTCATTACACTAAGAAATGTTTCAAATGTTATGTCATCTTCAACCTGTAGTCTTCATTGGTTGGAAGGATTTGCTGAAGGGTTCAGAAATAATGTAGACTGAAACCTTTCTCACACCTTAATTGAATGAGTGGAAGCATCTAATGCTTAAAGAGAGAATTTCTCTCAAGTCCTTAAGTGACAAAAACATTATTTAAATGAGTTGTATTTGGTTGATTCATTCTGCTACTTCTCATGTAGTTTTCCAACCACCTACAGACTATTCCAAGACGGACAAAACTTAAATTTTTAATTTAAAAATCAAGCGTGAAAACAATAATCTGTTTAAAATAATGGGATTTTTAAATTTATTGTAAAATTCAGTAAGGTGGTGGGGTGGCAAAGCACTTAAATATTTTCTTTGGCATGGCGGGTTTCTCTTAATCTTGCAGTGGGAACAGAAATGGTTTTAAACTTGTACAGAAATCAACTCCCTCATTCTTCTGCAACAGTGATAATTGCTGCCAGGGATTTTAAATTTGATGCTGAATTTTAAACCCACTCAAGTTTTGTGAATGCTGAACTTCACCTCAGAATGATCAGATCAAAATTTTTTCTTGATCACAAGAGACAGCAGAGGTTTGGGAGGGGAATGAAGCACAAAGGAGGAGATTTAGAATGCTTACTCCCCAAAAGTATACATGTGTTTGGCGTCAAGTTGTGGCAACACCACTGTTACTAGTGTTCTAACTGTAACATATAACATAGGCTTCTCTTTTGGTGGTAAAAACATGTTTTCTTTTAAAAAGTTATTCAACCTTGGGGGGAAAAACTTGAAATATAACTGTTTAGACTTAGCAGATTATCACCTAGGGATGGAGGGAAGGTATTTTTTATAAAAGAGAGCAACAATTTTATTTCTGTAAAAGTTGTCTACAGGTACTTTTTGCATTTAACATTAGTGCATTTCTCAATTACATCTTTATAAATCCTGTGAAGTTTCCACACAAATGTTTAATCATGGAAATAAGGTACTGGCTGTAGGCTGCTATCTTGAACGACTCGGAAACAGTGCATTTAGGAAGTCTGGTTTAATTAGTGTTATGTAGCCTGGGAATGTTTATGTATTATTTTAGCTTTATTTCATTCTGATGCTATATCAGTTTATCAAACTTAATAACTACTTGAATATTTTGGTACATCTGGTAAGCATATAACAAAACACAAATTATACAAATTACTACTTTCCTTTCAAGTGTGGTTATAAATAAGAAAACATGACTTTGTCAGAGCTAAGGTTTGAATTGTTACAGAGAAAGGGAATGTACATTTTCTAGAAAATGTGTTTTTCTGGTGAAGAAATAGGAAACTGATCAATGTTTCAGAGAACTGAATAATATGTAGATTTGAGTACTTCTATAAAACCTTATTGCTTAATTTTTGTAACAGATAACAGCATCATAAGATTTCATTGTTAAATAGCCTTGATTATTTTTTCTGGAAAATTGAAGGGTTCACTTCTCTTTCTTTTCAGGATATTTTAAAAACTGTCATAAAGCACTGTCCACCCTGGTTTTTCTTCTTGGCTTTACCTGGTTTTACAATGCTGATAGGAGACTTCATTACAGCTGCAGCCAGAGTTCTTAGTACAGACATGTTGGAGGTGAGTATGACAATGCTCAACATCCAAGTTCCCAGGAGAGTGCACAGTTGCTAACAAGGTTCAGATTTCTCCACTCTAACAGGTGTTGACTCATTAGTGCCATGTGAAACTGGGCTCTTGGGGCAGATACCATGGCAGCTGATGTGTGAAATTGTAGGATAAGGTGACATACTAGTATTGCAAAGGTGTTTCATCAAAAGGCCAAAGTGTGAGAAATCATATCCTCACTAATATTGCAGAACATTTACACACTAAAAGCAGGACTTGAATTTCAGATTCTCATTAGTGTTTTACAGTGAATGAATATTGAAACTACAAAGCATTTTGATGGCACAGAATTTCTTATAGTTTATAAGGGATAATAACACCATTTCATCTAGTTTAAAAAAATGTAAATGCAGAATAACGACTAACATGCTAAGGCAGTGGTTTGCAACTTTTTTTCATTTGAAGTTCCCTATAAATTTCCAATAGAGGTGGCCCACTTTGAATTGTAATTGGGTATTCACATACTTTTGATTAATCATAGTCATCTTTTGTAGACCCCTTAGACATAGTCTGCAGACCCCCAGGGGTCTGTAGACCACAGGATGAAAACCACTGTGCTTAAGGTAATGTTAAAGTTCTTACAAGCTTGCTAAAATAGGAAGCTTTTTATAAGACTGAGAAATACGAATAAATTCTTAAGACGTACGCTGTTAAGAAAGTTTGGATCTTTGTGTAGAGGTATATGTTGACAGAAATAGGCACACCATATGAAAGGAGGAGGAAGAAAAATCATCTCCAATTACAACAGAACGTTGTGAGTTGTTTTGTCCTTATGCATAGACATGTTTTTATGGTCATCAGTATATATACAGGCATTGGTTTGGTACAGAGCTGTCACAAAAATAGGTCAAAAAGCTTTTTAGGGATCAAAAGCTTACCTTGCCAGCAAGTAGTACTGCAAGATGTTTTAAAATTGTGCTTCATATAAACATGTAAAAAAAATCTCTGCCACAAAAAACCCACCAGGTATTACACAAAGCATGTCATACTTATTATGTTTTATATATTTAAAATAATACAAAAGGTTATCTATAGTGCTAAATACCCCTTTGCCTTTGGCGTTCTGAGATGGCTACATTGGAATATGAGTCTATATAGTAAACATTTTTATATGCTGGTCTCTAGTCAATTCTGGTGCACATGCTTTACTTCCAACACTGTTTTAAGCAGTATAGTTGTTGTCAAATTTACATATAAGACTCTCAAACACCCTTTGTGGGCAATAGTTTGAGAGGGTTGGTTTTCTTTTGTTTGTTGCCGTGATGGGTGTGACATCACTGTGATATAAAAACAGGACCTGATCATGAAAATTCATGCATAAAGGTAGAATCTGCAATTTCATGATACCATCAATTTTCCAGGAGAGTCGTGTAAATGCAAGAGTTTGTCCCTGCATCTGACCTTGCAAGATCAAGGCCATAACTGAGGTATTGGATTAGGTAGCAGCAAAACCCATAACAAATATAAGCATCGGTGTGATGCATTAATAAAAAAATCGTCTTATGATGTCCTAAAAGGGTATAACATGCCATGAGAAATATTACATTAGACCCTTTCCTCGGCCAGAAATACAATATAAAACATACCAAAACAAATAAATGGGGCAGCAGTATAAGGGAGGGTGTCTGAGAAGAGACTGGAGCATTGAACCAAACAGGAAAGGTTTTTATGGAATAAATTAATTTTAAGGAGGGATCTGAAGGAGAGAGAGAGAGTACTTGTTAGGTGAGTCATTCCAAGTTTGAAAGACAGTAGGAAGGAATTGGAGGATGGTAGAGAGAGCCTGAGATGAGAAGCAGAAAGAAATGTAGAGCAAGGATAATAGCAAGAAGTAATTTACAACTTTGAGAAGCCTGCCAAAGAGGTTTTGGTGCATCTCTCTTAGAGATGCACCTTTTGGCTTGGCCTATACTCAGTGCACCTTTTACAGGTTTTGCTGAAATATATATTTAATTTTTTGTCATCTTTATTTGCTAGTTCAATTGACCTGTATATGTAGTTTCCTTGCCTTCTCTAGTTACACTGGCTCAGCCTTTCTTTGGCTTTCTTAGCTTGGAAATACACAGGTGATTAGTGTGTCAGGTCTCTGCAACACTTAACCATCACTTATTTTTTAGGCTCAGGTGTGATAGAAGGTTGTGACAGACTGTTATGATGACTGTTATCTTATGGCATGGGTCTGTTATTTGGTACTGCAAGCACTCCACTGTGTTGACATTTAATGGGTTGCTGCAAGCCATTAGCAGAGTTTGATTTTTCTTGTGGCAGTCTTGTTACCACAACCCAGTTTTGCCGCAGCCATTGTCTTGCACTTTTGTTCAAGAGACACTGTTCAGGCTTTCACAGTTTTCACATGCAGCACTCTCATGGCCCGCCTTCGAGTGCCCAAAATCTTATTGACATTGACCATTCTACCCATCACTGGCTTTCTGGCCATTATGCCTTTGACATATGAGTATGGTGACACTCACTTCATAATCACCATCTGAGCCACTCAGCACCATAGTAGGGCTCATATAACAGCAGGGGAAAGAGGTCCTCCTCAAAGTAGGGGCCTTCATCATCTTCAGAAATGGCTTCTACCATACCATGGAGCCTCTCATTAGTATATGAAGATCCTTGTGCTATGGCTGTCTTGGCACTAGTTGGGCTCACTTCTGCACATTGCATTGTTCAGCACTATGTATCCAGACATCAGGATTGCCTCTTCTCTCACTTTCCGCATCTATCCCTACTTCTGTGCAGGGTGGATTGATTTAAATCAAATTATTTAAATGAACAGGCCAAAAGCCCAATTTAAATAACTGATTTTTTTTTTTATCAACTTTCCTGTTGTGTGTGTATGTGTTTGTTTTTTTTTAAAGACAGGTGTGTTTTCATTCATTGATGCAACAATTAAAATATGTTCATTTACAACTAAATACAGTTTTGCAGTAGATTTGGTGCATATCCTTCTTACGTACACAAACTAGATATATATGTATATATTTTAAAAATATATAGCTTAACATATTTAGATTGTTAGATATCCTTCATTTTAGAATGAAATGGTGCATATTTACAAATAATTTATTAAACACCCTGGGGCAAATTGTCTGGAATGCCTAAGTTAAAATCATTTGAGCTTAAGTTCCTACTTGTTTAATTCCCTTTAAAATTAGACAGTTATTTTTTTGCCAAGGCCATTTTGAAAATTGTTATCCCCTTTCTTTCAAAGTTTTAGAACTCAAAAGCCTCCTCCTCCTCCCCCTTTTTAGTAATAGACTGGAAGAGAAAAACAGGCTTTCCTGCTTTTTCAGCTCCCAGTCAATTCTCAGCTTTGAATGAACCAGTCCAAATGAAGAAAATATTTTTTTCTGTGCCAACAGAAGAGGCAACTGCTGATTTAGGACTTCAGCAAGCTCTGGTTCCAGGTGCTTTGCTAGTGACTCCACCAGTTCAGTGCTGTGACTTTCTTTAAAATATCCTTTGCAAACTTACTGCTTGAATGATTCACCTTTAACCCTGAAATGCATTATGGTTGATATGATTGGTGGGTCACTGGTAGATGTCCATGTCATAGCAACATTTTCCTCTTCAGCAGTTAAACATCTACCCTTTTTGTTAAGAATATCAGCAAGAAAATGAGGTATAGTAAATGCTTGATCCATCTACTTCTTTACTGCTTAAAATTTAACTTTGCTGGTGGGTATTTCTTGCTTTGATGTTTCTTGAAGTTCTTTCCAAGTTTCAACAGCAGTCACAATAAGGCAGCAATCTTTCTGTAGTTTGTTCAAGGCTCTGGAAACAGGTTTTAATGTACTCAGTATATCTTCTATATCACTTTTTAGTCCCATGTTGACTATTCTAGCTATGGTACTTCCATCAATATTATCACAATTTTCTTCACAGATGATCATTGGAATAGGCCAGTTCTTAATAAATAGCTCAAAGCAGTCAATCACTGAATTCCAGCATACATTTTAGGGAAGAATTAGGCTGTATTCCCCAGCTCTGTTCAGTGAAGCTGAAGCAAACTGGTTGTTACAGAAGTATTTTGCTCTTCCAGCAGCATTTCCCTTTACTCCTGGAGTACTTAAATCTTTGGCTAAAAGATGCATCAAATGAGCACTGCACCCATATGTTAAAAGACTCAGGTTTACTTCATTATCTTCTTTTAAGTTTCTTCTCATCTTTGCTACATTTGCAGCATTATCTGTGACAGCTGCACACATGATACTTGAACTTGTGCTCATAGCTTGTTATTGCTTTTACTGCTTCTTTAAAAAACGTTCTGCAGTATGGCCATTTCCTGATGTATCAATTGTTTCTGTAAGATAAACAATCCCATCTTCTGTTGTCACACAACCACATATTACTGGATTGTTGTGTACATTGCTCTATCCATCGACATGCAAATAAACACTTTTCCCATCAATGTTTTTTGCATACTGTTTAGTTTCCTTCTCATGCACTGTTTCATAGTTTCATAGTTTCTAGGGTCAGAAGGGAC